TGGACTAGATCCTACCCAAACCCACAACCCCCACCTGGGCCTTGCCCAGTGTGCGGCAAGGGGGGACACTGGAAGTGAGACTGTAATCAGGCCCCTTGAGGCAGCATTGCATCTCTTTTACTCTTTGGCTTTGCTGCTGAAGATTGAGGGTGCCCAGGCCCCGACCAGGCCCCATCGACTTCCATCTCAACCACAAAACCATGGGTAATGATGGCAGTTGTAGGTAAGCCTATCTCATTTTTTAATAGATACCAGGGCCACTTATTCTGCCCTCCTTGAATTTGCTGGGACACTTGTCCCTTCCTCTGTCTTTATTATAAAAGTTAATGAACTTGTTATATCACAACCACTAATACATCCTCTCAATTACTGTGTCTTGAACACTTCTTTCACACACTCTTTTCTTATTCTGCCCAGATGCCCTATTCCCATCCTTAACAGAGACATCTTACCCAAGTTTCAAACTTTCTTAACCCTATTTCTACCCTCCTCTGTCACTTAACAGGAGCTCTGGTAGCATAGTGCCTAAGGCACTTGACTGCTAACCAGAAGGCTGGTGGTTCAAACCCACCAGCCACTCCTTGGAAGGAAGGTTGCAATCTACTTCTGTAGTGATAGCACCTCTGAAACTCAAGGAGGGGTCGCTATGAGTCAGTCTGACTCCACAGCACATAACAACAACTGTCACTTAACAGTCCCTCAACTACAAAACTCCAAAAATTATCTTATTACTGTGAGAAAATCTCAGCCCCATTTTCTCATTAGTCTTGATACCATTTTTTCATTAGTCTTGATTCTCATTCTCTCTGTCTCTCTCTCTCTGTTAGCTCTTGTGCGCTCTCGGTCTCTCCACTCATTGTTACTTTCCTCCCCTATATGTTAAAACATGACAATTCTATTTCTACTCCACCTTCTTATACCAGCCATTATTTTCGGACAACCACTTCTTAGCAACAAACATTTAATTGAAATTAAAACTAAAGACACCAACCTATCGAACTACTAATGCCTTTAACCCTTTAATCCATGCCCCACTCCCCCTCTCACTGTGGAACACAGTACAGTTCTCAGTAAACCCACAGTCAACCCCCTGGCCACAGTTATTAATAGACCTTTCTTAAAGTCAGCTTCGAACTCTGTACTCTGTCTCAAGTTCTTTAATACCAGCCAAACTTTCAACTCAACGCCTTCCAGTTAAAATCTTCACTAATATCATCCATCCATCCCAGCCCCTTACCTACCCCATCTACTTTAAAGGAGGCCACCCACAAAGCACCCCTATAGAAAACTAACAACTGCCAACATACCATTACCTTCACCTTCCCAACTTCTTCAAAAAAATTCATGGACTATCACTAACAACACTCTCTGGTCAAAAATAAAACATTATCAAAAACCAGGGAAAAAGGACCACTTTCTCCTCTCTGCTCTGACTCGAACCACACTCCGAAGACACACACCTCCCCTTTTTTTTTTTACTGGAACCAATACCACTACTCTGACTATAGGTTTCTCTTATGTAAATTTATCCTCCTTCAATCAACCTTTACACCTCACCAATACCCTACCCTGGACTTTCACATCCCTTTTTCTCAAATTCCATACGAAGGCACCCACTCACACATCCTATGTAAGGAATCCGAAGGCCACTCTCACACTAGAACGTCAAAGCCATCTTGCAAGCCTCCACCACTGACTCCCCTACCTATACACCCCCATTGCCAAAACAGAATAGGGACACCTCTACGCCCCTGACCAGCCTGAACCAGCTATAGAAGCCAGACCTTCACCCATCAACAACCCAGGCTTCTTATGTAAGAAAGAGTGAAGAATGATAGATATAAGCCTTGACTTAAAATTCTCATGTTAATTTTATGCTTTAATCCTAATACTTTTTCTCTCCAAAAATGAAACTGAGTAACAGGACAGTGGTCACAACCCAGTTCTAAGAACTGGGTAGACAAGACAGACAGAACTGCAAAGAGTGACTGAAGCTTACAGTTCCAAGAACACAGCTGAACATCTGCTGTCTTGACTGTTGCTACCAAAACAGCCGTGGTCTGCTCTCCCACAATAGAACTGCTGATAAACTTCCTGCCACCCTACTTAAACCTCCCAACTTTCCCAACTTGGGGCTGACACACTGATGAGCTCAGCCCCGGGTGACACCATTCTGGTCTCAGCCTGTCTGCATGCAGATATTTTAATAAACTTTCTTTCAAAACTCTACCGGCCTGATTTCTCTCTCCCATCACCAAACCTTGTATTAAGTAGCAAAAGAAACCCTTTGGCCTGCAAAGCCTAAAATATTATCTAGCCCTTGACAGAAAGTTTTCAACCCCTGATTATATACCAAAACTAATCCCTTGTGATGTTGGACATAGGCATTTACCTAAAGAATACTGCCATTTTGAGGAAATTATTAAAATTGAAAATATGTTCTTTGTAAACATACTTCCAAATGACAAGCAGAATTACAGACCAAGTACCTAAGGAAAAATGTCCCTGAATGGCATAAGTAGTTTACAATCAACTAATAACCTAAATGTTGGCAGTTAGAACCTACCCAACAGTAATGGAGAAGAAAGGCCTAGCAATCTGCTTTCATAAAGTTTACAGCCAAGAAAACGCTATGGAATAGTTATATTAACACTTGGGGTTGCCAAGAGTAGAAATACACTGACAACTTTTCTGTTTATCTAAAAAAAAAAAAAAGTTCCTTTCCAAATGATTTAACAACTTCATGAAGACTGTAAAGTGATCATACTAAAGTGAGGAGATACTAAGCAAACTCTGTTCAGTATTTTAAAAGCACAATAATCATACTGACATCAGTGAAATTATTATATTTCAGTAAACCCAGAAAATCAAGATTAGCTAAGGCCAGCTGGTAGTTTGGAACTAGAGAATTCATGCTTTGCTCCCAAGCGTTTCAGAACTTATTAAACATAAATACATATTCCCAAAGGGTTACTTTTAATTAGAAAATGTATAAGCTTTGGACAATGACTATACTTGACTAATGGTGTTATCATTTTGAGTCCTTACTTCAAATCTTAGTATGTATAGCTGTTGTTGTTGTTATGTGCCGTGGAATCAGACTCGACTCATAGCGACCCCTCCTTGGGTTTCCGAGGCAGTATCACTACGGAAGTAGATTGCCCAACCTTCCTTCCGAGGAGTGGCTGGTGAGTTTGAACTGCCTATATATAGCTAAGCAAAACAAAAACATACTCAAAAATGAAATAAATGGGGCAAAAGGGTATATATTTATGTTTTGGAAGATAGAAACTCCATTTGATGTGAAAAAAGCAAGAACCTCACCACCAACAAGTCATTCATCTGAAATGTTTGTTAAATGCCCAGATAAAAATTAAAATATGATCAGTTGGATGAGAAAAAAACATTTATTTTTACCTAGTGAAATTCACTAGACCCCAAAATGATAAGGACCTACACATTCAGCAAAGCCTTTTAAGTAGGAACAAAGTTCAACAAGTCATCACGATGCTTTAATCTCTCCTCTAAGCACCCAGACAGTAGAGAGAACAAAATGGGTATTTTCTCTCCTCTTCTCGCATCTTTATTCCGTTTGGGCAGAGTGGCCTCTGGAAGAATGGTTCAGAACCATCAATCTTCCTTCCCAAACCTTATAAAATGTCTTTTAGATTCGGTTTCTGTCAGTGGCGTTCACATAAATAGATTCATGGAGGAACAACTGCTTAAAATGGAATAAAACCTCTACTCAGAAAGGCAATTTTCAAAAAGGGGCACGAACAATTGGGAACAAATTCAAGGGCCCTTGAATAAAAGGCTCCTTGCTCTAATTTAGCCTGCTCATTAAAAAACGTAAAATCCACGCCTTCGGAGAAAGACCAAAAGGTAAACAGGGCCGAGAGCAGGACCTGGGGAGTGCAGGAGAAAGCAGGACCAGGGAGGGAGAAACAAGAACGCGACAGGTGGATGAAAAGAACAGCGGAACGTGGGCGCGCACTCAGAGGTGGCGGGCCATGGTTGGCCCAAGTGATTTCAGTGGGTCTTGAGACAGAAGCAGCAGGAAAAATGAGCACAGACACAGAACTGAAATTACACCGAATAGCGCGAAGGGAAAGAAACGACTGGGGAAAAGGCATGCAATGGGCATGGACTGGTTTCTACAGCTCTCCTTTGTCCTCAAATAACTCACCAAGGAAATCACACTGAGAAGACGAGGGAAAAGGAAAGGAAATGGGAAGTAGGGTCCAAGAGCCGTCAGTGCTGCCTTGGGAGACGGAGACCCGCACCTCTGGCCTTCGCCTCGGCTCCCCAACGGACTCGGCCAGGATTCGCTAGGCCTGGCCCACCCCCTCTAAGCCACCTCTGCGCCTGCGCTAGTACCGGCTTCAGCGCCCGCACGCCACACCCATACCCTCCAGCAGCCTTTCACGTCACTCTCCTCCACTCTCCACCTACCCCAGCCTTCTTAGCTCCTCTGGCTGCTCCCCTCTCTGGTCCTGCTCTCGATGTCAGTTGTGCGTCTGCGTGGCCTCGGTACTCGCCCTCGCTTCGGCTGGCATTGGGGCTTGCGCACAAGAGACTTATTGTGTGACGTGTGCGCGCTGGCTGCGCTTCGCGACTGTCTGGAGTAAAGTTTTTCTCTCCAGCTGTAGAAAAAGAAAATAGCAAGATTTTTAAGTGGATGGCATTCTCCATCCCGCTGCCCCCCAAGGTTCATTCATATAAACAGTGGCATTCATAGTGATCTTCTCAGAAAAAGGAGCTACAGAGAGGGAAGAAAGGCAGCGTAGCATTTCAGTACCCTGTCACCTAGTAACGGTTTCCACGGCAACCGCATCGTCAACAACGCTAAGAAACTCCAAGAGACATAGAAAAGGGTATTTTATTTTCTTCCCCAAAGAGGGCAATTAAGAGGAGGTCAAAGGGAATTTGTGTGAAAGAGAGAAGCCTGGTTCCTTAAGAAGGCAAGGGCGTAGTAAAGAAGTGAAGGAAGGTATATTATAATGGAAAAGATAATTGATTTTAAGAAATCATTAGTGACCGTGGATCCAACATGCTTTTCTGAGAGCATTTATAACCTCATACCCAGTGACGCGAAGGAGCCTCCCCAGCCTCCTAGGTATGTGGATAAGCAAAAATTATAATTTGAAACAATAATTGGGAATAATTATTTAATATCAGGATTAGGTAAAAATAGATGTAATATGATTTTTAAAAGAACTAAAATATATTTATTGTTCTCTCAGTGAAGTAGCCTTGGATGGCAACTTTTTAGGGACGACAGCAAAATCTGATGTATTAATAGTTAATAGAGAGGGCGTTTGGATGCTAAGAGATGACCATTTTATTATGTAAAAATAATAAAATGTTATATACTGTTAATACAGTATGTAATTGTTTTGTGATTTATCTAAGTGTTCATACAGGATGTGGCATACAACATTATGAAATTTCATTTTACTGTTGAAAAGCGGAAATCACAATTTTATTATCTGTGTTGGATACTTGATGTTTAGTTTCAGAAGTTCACTGTATTTCTTCTAACTGTGCTACTGCTCCATCTCTAAAGGGATAGGACTTTTTTTTTTTCCCCTAAGATTATTTTCAAGTGTAAATGCCCATTTATTTCTGAGCCTTAATCTTTGATTGGTAACATAAAGTAGATGAACTAGATGATCTTTAAGATCTTTTGCAGACTTAATACTTGAATGGAAGGAAGACACAAATAAGTGCAATTGAGTTAAAATGTTTATATATAAAGTAATGTTGTAGAACTTAGAAGGCAGTGTATGTGACTGATGGTATAAATTACTGAAGTGAGGGGACTGGCACTTTTCTAAAGTTGAATTATGAGCTTGGACTTAAGATCTGAAAGGGTTGAAGTCAATGGGAAATCATGCAAACAATGTAATCACAATTTGAGTTACTTATGATGCATAAGATAGTTTCCAGTATCTTCACCAAATTCATCACCCTTCTATGGATGGTTCCAATTACTTAGTGTCTCCACTTATTCTCATGCCCTTTTGATTAAAGCAGCATTCCAGTATGATCAGCCCATGGAACCATTACCTCCTTTCCTTGATATCCAACCCACCAAAACCACTGCCATTGAGTTGATTCCAACTCATAGTGACCCCCATTGGGTTTCCAAGGCTGTTCCATGATACACAGTACTTTTATTTATGCAGCATACAACCCCATTAGCATTTTGACAGTTATGTTCCACTGTTGGCTCACATTGAAGTTCCCACATAAATTTTGACTAAATTTGGCTCACCCATCCTATAATTTTGTAGCTGATTCTTCTGACTCTTAGCTCATCATTAATCTATGGAGGTAGTTTTGAATTATGAATACTTCACAGTCTGTTAACCACCCCATCCAGCTCTGTGTCATTTTCAAATGTGATAATTGTGTATTTTATATCTCCATCTATCATGGAGCAGGGCAAATACTTTGGACTTCAGTAGGCTACTAGAATACTTCTCTCTAGACTGACAGCAATTTTTTTGTTCAGTCAGCCACCCAAATGGACCTATTAATCACATAGTTATCCAGTTCATATTTCTCTCTCTTTTCAGGCACATTATTATGTCTAAGTTATTTCCCTGATCTATGAGTCTAATAACATTTTTTAAAAGTAATGTTCATTTGCCATGACCTGAAATTCCAAATGGGTTAATACAAACATTCTTCTCTGTGAACTTACTGAAGACTTTCTGTACAGCTCTTTCAGGAATGGGCATCAGGCTCCCCAGTGTAGAATTTGAAAATGAATATGTGTTGTGCCCTAAACACCCATTCTGTTTTTTACTGAGGTTAATGTAATTATAACTTCAATTTTGGAGCTTCCCATTCTCTTAGACTACCTCCCATTTTATTCCATTTCTATACTATTGTACCTGTGGTTTCTGAAATCTTTGTAACATCTCCTTTTTAAAGATGATATGATCACTTTTACCTGATATTCTTGTCACATCTACTTTGGTGGCCAATTACAGCCAAGATTTCAATTGGGGAAGGCAGTAGCCTTTTAAAATTAACTTGCATTTATAAAAAAAGTCAAGAATATTCCAAAGTGTTTTTTGCATAATGAAATTTTATGCCAAAATTTCAATCATTGTAATATATAGTGTCAGAGATTTATAATTAGTGTTATAAACTGTTCTTCATATTTTTCATCTGATTAGGTAGCCTGTACAGCCTTCCATAGTTATAAAATGTCTCTTCATCTCCCATGTCATTTTTACCCAAGTGATCTTCTCATGCTTTTATCTTCATGCTTGAATGCGTGTGTGTGTGTGCATATACTTTAAAATCCAAAACAGCCACCACTTGTAAACATTCAACATGGCTGTACCCTCGGTCACTTTAAATATCCAATATGGCCACTGCTAGTAAACATTCAAAATGGCTGCAGCCTTGGTCACTTTAAATATCCAAAATGGCCACCACTTGTAAACAATCAAAATGGCTACACCCTCTGGACAGCTGCAAGTCAGGTTGTCTCCCACCTTGCTGTTTCCCTTCCTAGTCATAGGCCACCAGCACAGTCATCTCTGCAGCCCTTGGTGACCAGGACTGATCTTTAGATCAATTCTCAGGTCCCAGCAGCTCTTGGAAACATTCAGGCTGTTGGTCTTGTCAGAGTAGCTGACAGTCCACTGCTCTCACCATCTCTATACTCACTGTTTTCATTCAGGTTTTTCTACCAGTTGGTGCCTAATCCACTTCTGTATACTTCCTTTCAAAGCTCAGGGCTCCAGGATTATCTTCCCTATCTCTGTCAAT